TCCAATCCTGTCTTCTTGGGAACCTGACCTCCCGATTGGCTCTCTCATCCCTTTAAACTGCCTGCTTTGTGACATCATTCTCCCACCAAACCTACCACCACCTGGTAGAATCTTGGGGTGCCCATGGAGTTGTCTGTAAATAAATTTGGATCATCGCAACTGACCAGTGACCAGTAACTGGTGACCAGTGACCAGTGGCCAGTATGACCAGTGACTTTAGTACTGGACACATGTGCTCTTTGGCTTCAGCCACTGAGAAATCGTCATTCCTTGCATCTACAGTTGATATCTGCTCTTCTTCTCTGACCATGTCAGGTAAGGAAAGAACCTTTTTGAAGTTTTTCATTGGATTGTTATTTGTACCTAAATTTAGCAATAGTGTCAAAAGAGCATAGAATAGTTTGTGGAAATATTGATCTAGAAGTCTGCAGACCTAATTTCAGTTTAGATTTTGACATTTAATAGCTTTGTGACTTTGGACAAGTCATTGGATCTCTCACAAAATCTGTTTTTTCCTCCTCTGTTATATTAGGATGTTAGGTTGGTTGTTCCATCTAATCCCTTCCTTTTTGTAATATTGAGTACAAAAGAACACTCATATTGAAAATGAAATCAAGACTTCTTCACAGTGTTTCATCATATACAGAATAAAAACCTCGGTGATGTAGAAAACTAAGAATATGTATATATACAGGATGTCTTGTGTGTAATGTAGTCTCCCACTACTAATGTTTCAACTTCAGTATTTTAAATTGAGGGCTGTTCCAAAAGTAATATTCACCTGTTTTTGAAGATTTCTATCTAAACTAGGTGAACCGAGAAAATAGCGAGAGAGGATGGAGAGTGCTGGGCTATAGGGACGCTAGTTTTTGAATGTAAGTAAGTTTAGAATGTTTTCAGCAGCACAGGCCTGGAGGACCTGAGGGAAATAGAAAATACAAGCATGAAGTAGAGGAAACTATAAGAATGCAAAGGGAGAGCATGGAAGTGCTCTCAAGAGCAAAAAGAATGGAATGTTGAAGGGAACCAAAGAGTTTAAATGAAAGAAGAGCGAAGGGTGAATCCAGCTCAGAGTAGGGCAAAATAAAGTTGATCTTAGCAAATGTTTACATCGATAGACTAGGAAGGAAAGTAAGGGCAGAATAGGGTGCCACTAGGAAAACCAGCTTATCAAAAAAGTCATATTCAGTTGCCTGTGGTTTTCTATTACCTCTCTGAACACAGATGGCATGTGACAGTTTGGAACATAAATGTTTAAAAATATAATTCAGAAATGATGTTTCTTCTATTCAAGAAACTAATAAAGGTGATTATCTAGGCCAGTGGTCGGCAAACTCATTAGTCAACAGAGCCAAATATCAACAGTACAACGATTGAAATTTCTTTTGAGAGCCAAATTTTTTAAACTTGAACTATATAGGTAGGTACATTGTTATTAACTTAATTAGGGTATTCCTAAGGCTTAGGAAGAGCCACACTCAAGGGGCCAAAGAGCCGCATGTGGCTCGCGATCAGCAGTTTGCCAACCACGGATCTAGGGGGTTGGAGTAAACAGAATTTTCAATGTTTAACTTCATCCTGACTTTTCAACTATGATGATGTTTTTTCTATTAAAAATAAAATGTTAAATATATTTTTATTGATTTTAGAGAGGAAGAGACAGGGAGAGAGAGATAGAAACATCAATAATGAGAGAGAATCATTGATGGGCTGCCTCCTGCACCTCACCCACTGAGGATTGGTCCCACAATCTGGGTATGTATCCTGACCAGGAATCGAACTGTGACCTCCTGGTTCATAGGTTGATGCTTAAACACTGAGCCTTGCTGGCTGGACAATATTTTTTTTAAAAAAAGATATATCCTAAATGGAATGAGAAAGAACACATCCTTTGTGTGATTAGTATGTTCCAAGTCAGAGCTGCTTTTCATCTTTAAACTTATTTTCTTCAAAACACAGGGAGCACCCTGATACACAGCCACCAACTCCCTTTACATCTTAGCTACCAAAGGAGAAAAATAAAAATCAAGTCCACATCTCTAATTTCATATTGCTCTAAAAACAACTTTGTGGAGTCTCTTGAGGAATCCTATATTAATTTTTTTAAAAATTGGAATCCAGCGATGATGGTTTTAAAGGATTTGGGTATGACCCTTTCCTGAATGTTGAAGATGATAATCTAGGTTGTCAGATAAATAGAAAAACCTTCATACCTTTCAACTGTTCTTTTCTCTTTGTTATGAGGTTATATTATTCCTATCTAATAATAGACAAACATGGTAATTGACCGTACCTTCGCTACATCTCCCATTGGTTAATCAGCACCATATGCAAATTAACCGCCAACAAAGATGGCGGCTAATTTGCATACTGCAGGCACAGCGGGACAGCACAAGCCGCCAGCGCGAGCAGCCATCCAGGCCCCCGTGTGCGAACCCAGAAGCCGCCTGCCTGCCGCCCAGGATCGGATCCGATCCCAGGCCGCAGGCCAGCCCCAGAAGCCCCAGAAGCCACCTGATATGGCAGTAACTCTATCAGTAAGCACTCTGAAAGTCAGTGGCATAAATGCACCAATTAAAAGACAGATTATGAGGGTGAATCAAAAACAAAACCCACTTTAAATATAAAGACACATATAGATTAAAAGTAAATGAATTAAGCTGCAGCCTGTTTTGCTCAGTGGATAGAGCATTAGCCCGTGGACTGAAGGGTCCCAGGTTCGATTCC